TTAGACCTTCAGAGAAATCGCTCGTTATAGATAACGTTCGAAATGCGCGCGTTAAATAACCGCTCACCTCTTATCGTCTAATTACTGGGCGAATGTAGAAACCGCCACTAATAACTCCGTTCTTCTGCGTGCTCTTAGTTATTCTCATTATATACATTGTTATTAAAGGATAATACTCGACGAAGAGACACGCAAGAAAGAAAGCAAGTTTCTAACTGGCCCAGATCGAACGTGTTACATATTCTCGAAACGTGATTCTCAAATCTGTTCGAACAGAACAAAAAAGATTTTTCTTAGTCATTCCTATTACATAGATCGTTATTAAAGCATAATCCTCGACAGCAAAGAAATAACAAGAAAAAAAGCAAACTTCTAATTGACAGAGATTGAACACGTTCAATATTCTCGAAACGTCATAGTTAAATATGTTCGAATGGAATAAAAAAGCCTGCTCTTAATCATTCCTATTGCATACACTGTTATAAAAGCATAATCCTCGACAGCAAGGAACAACAAGAAAAAAAGCAAGTTTCTAACTGGCCGAGACTGGGCACGTTCAATATTCTCGAAACGTGATTTTCAAATTTGTTCGAACAGAATGAAGAAGCCTGCTCATCGAAGTTCGCCTTTGTACGCGGCCCGAACGACCGTTCGCGTTTTATGTCGTTTTTTGAAGTCATTCCACGAATCGGTCGTCTAGTTTCCTGCCCTCCGCTCTCTGTCTCCGTTTGTTCCTAACCTCGTGACGGCCACGTAACGATAAGCCTCTGTTATATGTAATACTGCCAACGGGGACGTGTAAAATTCCGACGCGTTGATTTGAACGCGACATCGATGGATAAAAAAAAGGCTCGTACATGACGAACAGGATTGTACGTCATTATACCTGATGAATAGGAAAATTGAATGTCGCGTATAAAATAGGCGAAAAAAGTACACTGCGAATGAAATGGTGTTTGAACACTTGGCGGAATCTAATCGACAGCTGTTATCAGTATTGTTTTAAGAATCCATTACAGATCGGTTGTATATTGTATAATAGCCTTGAAGGTAATTTTATTAAGGCGATATTTTATAAAGATAGTTCCAATAACTATTTCATGTTTCTTATAGCAGTAAAGTAATTGGCAAAATATGGACGTTAGCATGGGGACCATGTAACGGGACCAACGAGTGGCGCCAAATTTAATTGGCGTATCAAGTTGCAGTTAAAACCATCATCCGCTTGTTTAACAATCATATTCCAGCTAACAATGGAAATCGAGTTATGTCACGCGTTCCCTTTACGAAAATAAACACTGTTATCTCTTCCCGAATCTTTTAACCCTTTGCAATCGAAAGTTTCTCAATGGAAATATTCGACACTTTTCGACGAGATATAGATGATATTGTTTGAAACTAATTTAACGATAATTTATAGATAAATTAAGCAACAAAGGTGTTGTATTTCAACATTTCACGTAACAATGCGAAGTTTAATTTGAAATATTAAATATTCAACTTTACAGTTTCGCTGTATCGAATCGAGTGGTGACTGAGAGTCACCTCTCGAGTGCAAAGGGTTAAAAATACAATGCCTATATTATATTCAAAGCATTCGCTAGCCATACATGGAAAACTTAACGTCGAAATGTAAAACGACAGTCTATATGGTAAACGATGTTTCCACTGAACCGATCACTCAACGAATCGTTAAAAATTTGAAATCTGCTTACGCAAGAGGTTTACTTTCCTCCGGCGATCAATTCAATTCGCTTTCCGGTGCCTTTTGAAGATACCATACCGATATTATATTCAAAGCGTTCGCCAGCCATACGCGGAAAAGCCAACGTTGAAACGTAAAAGGACAGTCCACGCGATAAACAATGCTTCCGCTGAACCGATCAACCGACGAATCGTTAAAATTTTGAAATCTGCTTATGCAAAAAGTTTGCTTTCCCCATGGCGATCGATTCAATTCGCTTTCCGGGACGTGTATGTAACTTGCAGCGAGGTAACCGATTCGATTATGCGACGCTGAAATTTAATTGTACCGATCGTTAAAATGAGGGTGCAAACTTGTCGCACGAAAACGCGACCCAGCACCCCGGAGCACCGCGTTAATTCTCAAGCACCGAAAATTCATTTACCGATACGCCGTATGGTAACAGCGATTTTCCGAAATTCCGGGACCCCGTGTCGGTGTTTAATGGAATTGCATCGCGTATGGATTAACCGGTCGCAGATCGCGCGAGCGCGCGTATTTATCGTTAACGTCAGTTTAACTAAATCCGCGAATCGGTCCATTATCGTGCCGATACGATTCCTGTGAATACCATCTCCCCGTAACGACCAACAATCGTGACTTTCACGCGTTTCCCCGTAATCGCGTTCTCGATCCTATTGTCCCTCCATAGAACGGGGCAGGAATGGTGGAATTGCTCCAGGGAGCAGCTCATTTATAGTATCAACAAAAGGGCTATAAACGAATTTGTATCGAAATACATTCTAACGGTCCCATTGTATCCTTAATGGCTCTCACAAGATTTGATTAGATCAATTATCTTTTATATCTACTTATATACAACGAAACGTACTGGGTTTTATGTCACAATAGAATTCTAATTTACAGTTATACTCGCATAATGGAAGGTAACAATGTAGGATCAGGTATTGTAACAATATTTCACATAAATGTTGTGCATCAAGAGTTTCCCTGTTAGATAAGTATTATCGTTAAAAATATTATGTTATATAAACGTATGGTCGAGCTTGTATTACGCACGACCAGATATAATGTATAAATAGTTTATTATTAACCTACATCTCTCGATTTTCGATTTCCAAAAGTTGCCATATTCAGGTTCTACGATTGAAGCAATGTATGACAACGGTCAATAAATTCTGGTTGTCAATACCGTGTCTGCATTTGCAATTCAAAAATTGTTTAAATGTGATTAACACGTTGATTGCCACAAGAATATCGAACGTTTTGTGTAACAATACATATTCTTTCATAACAAAGACGAATGGTATTAGAAATAATTATTAATGAGTCGGTATCAGTATACGTGTTACATTACCTAGCTGTTTGTGTTACTAAATATTTTTATTCGACAGTTTTGTTATTGTAATTGTATTTATATAATTTTGAAGCTCCGCTGACTCTCAACCAAATCGAATTACTATAGTTCAATTGAACGATGACCATTCGAAAACATTTCTATATTACAAACAACGCTAATTAATATGGCGACATTCAGCCAAACGAACTTGCAATAATAACAACGCAATTCATTCGAACGATTTAACGTTGTACCTTTTTCATTTCGAGTATTTCGCTTTACGAAATCATACGGCGTTCAACGTGTTAACATAATTCTCAATTGTACACTAATAACCTCAATTACCGTCTAAAAAGGATCCCGCTGTAAGTTGTTTCCCGACTATCAATGGGAGTGCTCCGCGCAACTGCACAAAGCGATCGGGTCTTGGTACACGTGTCCTTGCAGGTCGAATAACGCGTCGCCTTTAACCGGTCAACTCGCTCATCAACTCGGGCGAACTTCGCATGGAAACCTTTCACTCGTTTTATTAATCATTACCGAGGCACGCCGTCTATTCTAGAGCCGAGAGACTCAAGTAAAACCAGCTCCCCGCGATAAATAAAATATCTGTTGGAATGACGATGATTAGTCATCGCAAACGACCGATCGGCATTTATCACAGTTCGTCTCCGTTTATGCACGCCGGGGATTTCTTACCGAGTCTGCCTCATCGTACGTGTTTCCGAACGAAGTTCGAACACGGCTATGGGGTCCGTCAGCGGACCTTGGGAATACAGTAAAAGACGAGCAGGTGTGCCGCATTCCTTTAAACGGAACACTGACGTAGCCGGCGGAATAAGATTACTGGTTCCACCAGAGGCAAGAAGAACCAGACAATTCGCGGGTCCGGTTCCACGGGGAATCGAACAGGGCACGTACTGAGGGTGTTGCGAATACAGTAACTTAATAGAACGCCGGGGAGTATATACCTAGATACAGTTCTTCGGTGACAGGTATCAGCAGTTCAAGAACGAATCTAGGTTTACCAGTTTCAGAAACTATTTCGATTCGGTTAACCTAAATAGACTGTCGATAACGATTCGATAACCACTTTAACACTGGAACTTAAACTGTCTTTTCAAATTTATTTACAAAGACTATTAGTGTGAATTTATTAAGATTTCAATTAACTTATATTTCAGTTTAGGCATTGCTAAATCAGCTTTTTTTAATGATTTCTTGAAGAAGTTGAATTTGATAACCACTTTAATACTAGAACTAGCACTTAAACTGTCTTTTTCAAATTTCTTTATAAAGACTATAAGAGATCATTAAAAAATCTGATTTAGCAATACCTAAACTGAAATATAAACTAATTGAAGTTTTAATAAACTCACACTTAAAGAAGTATATGTACCTTTGCAGTCACTCTAAAAGAAATTAGGAATTGGTCATTTTGGCCCACATGGCAGTCCTAGTGTTGATTACTGGTACTTAAACTTTTACATCTTGAATTATCCTTACTTTTTATCATGAACAATATGTACATGTAAAAGTAAGGATAATTCAGGATCTAAAGATTCAAGTGCCGGTGACTGAAGTGGCTGTCTAATTAATATTATCAACAGCCTATCTAGGTTAACCAAAATCGAAGTAGTTTCTAAAAACGACAAACCCAGATCCATTATATACAAATACACATACAAACAGAAACTCGACTAAAAAAGAAACTAAAAACAGTCGTCCCCCAATGATCTCCAAAGGAAAATTCAGCATTAAAACACCTCGCCGCATAAAGTGATCCGCTCATACGACTAGGCCCCGTCACTGTATGCGTTCCACGGACTATACTCACGCACGTAGAATCACACAGCGGCGAAGCGAGAAAACAATCTTGCCACGCGTTAAGTAAGACACGTTCGCGTCGAATACCACGCATACATCTATCCAACGCAGCACCGTTAACTGGCTCACCACATGGTCGAGGCTCGGTCGCGTGTCACCGAGGCTTAAACAGACATTTACCAGGATTTCTCGTGGTCGGCTCTCTTTTATTTCCCTTTCCCCGTTGGCTCCGGTTCGGGGCCCGTCGTCGACGTCGCCGTCGCTCGCCAGTATCAATCGACTAAGACGTAACTCGCCGATCCGAACATCGGATCGGATCCGGTTCTAAGGCTCACCACAGAAATCTGTTATTTGGTTGCACACACTGTAGGCCTGCCGGTGCGGAATTCCTTGCACGCGTAACAGTCCGACGCTCACGCGGGCAGGTGCCCGAGGATCTCGGGTACACGAAAGGTATCGTGAAATCGGATCTAAGGCCCGAGCACGCTCGCGAGATCCACGGGTCCGGACGGAATGGAAAGCGGGACGCGTATCGCGCGTAGGTACACACTGAGGGATGGAGCTGCCGAGAGGCGCCAGGTGCGACTGGACGATCGGTGAAACGTTGAACGGGGCGCACACGGGAACAGAAGAGAGAAGGAGGCTCTAGTTGTCACACGCGGACCGCTCCCGTCGCCGCGGTCCGCGTTCCTCTTATCGGGGCTCGACGTCGGTTATTAACGAAATCTCATTGATACACACCTTCTTATGACCTAGTAACGTGAACGCTTCCAGATGCACATCCCGTACGTCGCACATACGTGTACATCCGACACTGCAGAGCCACTGAGCATCGCCGAGGTTAGGACTGCGAAGTGGGGACACCTGTTCGACATCCGTAGCAGCACTTTCTACGCTAGCTCTAATCGCCGTGCGTGCGTGCGTTGGGCTGCCTATCGATACTATCCACCGCGATTCCGCCGATGCACACACTATCGAGGACACCCTCGACTACGTCGAGATTTATCGGACACGAAACGACCGTTCTGCGGGATCCCCATTCACGGTCGACTCTCGGTGTCATTGATTCCGCAATGAACACAGCCGCGCTATCTGTGGTTGCTTCCGGTAGTTCGTGAGCGTTTGATGCTGCTGGTAACGGTAGGGAATTAGGGACTGTTTAATTAGAACTACTAGAGAGGTCGGAGCGATTCACTCCTGATTGCTTTTTTAACCTTTTGTACTCGGTGTCTCTTAACTACTTGATTTGACGCAGGAAAACTGTAATCTAATGTGTAATGTTTAACTTTGTATATTGCCGTGATGCGTGAAACATTGAAACAAAGCTTTGTACAAAATGTACTTGTGATTTTCTGAATCAGTTTCAAAAAATATCGTCTTCACTTTGAAAAAATGTTATATCTCCTGAGAAGCTTCTGAGTACAAAAGATGATTGAAAACACTACAGATAATTTTTTGAGAAATTACTATAGAAATTGATTCAACAATATGCAAACTGAATTGTAAATCAATAGAAATCTCAATAGCACTGTTGGAGTTTTCATAGAAAAATTTTAAAAAGTCAGTTTGACTTAGTAGTTCTAATTTTAATAATGTCACCGACGAGGAACAGGATTAGACATCTTTACCATATGTTGTATCTGAAGAATGTAATATTTCGACAAGAAAATTAAAACGGATACGTTTTTTATTTATGGTGTTTATTTGGACTCTGTTGGTAAGGTTGCAGGTGACACGGGAATGATAAGGGGCGAGCAATACCTTGGTCGTTTGATAAAAATTTAGGTGTGCAGTTTAATTTATCTTTCGTCGGTGCTATAGTCTACCTCGCCCTTTGTTGATCAAGTATATTATAGTCGGCGATATAGGCATCGTTAAGATTTTCCGTGGGTAAATGTAGGTAGATAACAAATTAATTTGTGTTGTCGGCAATATAGATTCCAACATAGCATAGATCTCTGTATGTTGCAGTTCGCTGATTGGTGCAGTTTTATGTGTAGTTTGCGAGGTTTCATATAAGATGGAGTCACCTCTGTAAACCTACATAGCGCGTGTAATTTAAATCATAATTGTGACTCGGGTATCTAAATAATTTTTAAATAAAACTAGCTGTTGTTCGAGCGGTCTTCAATTTAATCCTTTGCATTCGACAATTTTCCATTAGAAATATTCAATGTTCTTCGATAAGATATAAAAAACTTACATAAATCAAAAAACAAAGCTATTTTATTCCAATATTTTACATATTCATGCATTATACAAAGCTTAACACATTGCATAATATCGAATCAAGTGGTTACAGAGGATCACCTTCCGAGTGCAAAGGGTTAATATGATAATATATTTAGCACGAGTACCCGGCATGCGTTGCAATGCCACTCAAAGAAAGAAAGTGTATTTTAATTATGTTTATTGAAGTACTTTTGGATACATATTTTTTGTTTTTTTTAAATGGCTGTAATTTAGGAAATTTCATCGCAATCGGATGAATGGCACAGGAACGCGTACGGAACAAACAAAGAAACATTCATTTTTATTTCTAATATAAGTCAAATCGAACTCCCCGTTAGTTTTCTATTAGAGAATTACCGATGCTTATTTTTTTCCAATGCACGACGCTCGGCGAAACAATAGCATAAAGCTTCGCCTGGTAACGATGCCCATTTGACGTCACAGTTTGGACATGTCGGGCGCCCGATGAAGGCGTTCCAAAATTCCCAGTAATTCACCAACAGCAACAATAATGTTTTCCCGGGCCGCAAAATCCATCGTGAAAACCATTGGCCACCGGAAATATCACGTCAGCGAGGAGAATATCAAGGTACGTGCTCGTCTGCGTGCGTGTCCGTATAATTACATGAGAAATCCAAAAAGAAAGGTCCATCGATCGTTCTTGACCATAATACTAATTCGTGAATCGATTATTTTAACACTGAAACTATCGAGTAAGAAAATAAATGTTGTATTCTATTTATTTAATAACTTCTCAAAGAAGCATTTGTGTCTTTTTACTAAGTACATAAAGAGAAACGAAATGGGTCGTTTTGATCCATCTGGTAGTTCCAGTGTTAGTCACATCGCAATGAAATGATACACCTGTTTGCCGCGCAGGTGACGTTGATGGGCGGTGCAGGGGAAATAGGTCGGACCCTGTCGCAGATGTTGAAACAAACCCCGAAAGTCAACGCGCTCGTTTCGAACGACGTGGCTTCCTTGAGCAAATTCGCGAATCCAATCAAGTTCCCCAATTTTTCCAACGGCGAGCCTTTCAATCCCGCTGTAAGATTATTCTCCATCGCGATTTGTTCCATTTGAAATCGATTTTGTAGAGGAATTAAAGAAACACGCTTCCCTGCAGAATTCGTGGTTGTTAACGATGGTGGAGAAATCGCGGATAGCTAAGGATCAAAGTCAGACCAGGCAAAAATCGGTCAGTTATTTGTCCAATGGCTCCTCGAACGTAGCTAAGGTAAATTATACTTTGATAAGCTTCAAAGATTGCTTTCGTTTTCACTGAAACCTGAAAATTCCTTATGTGTAGAACGAAACAGACGAACTCGTGCAGGCTCTACAACGACTGCCGATCGCCGAACAAGGCAGCATGGACCAGGTGAAAAAGTTGAAAGCGATCGCGTCACAGGTAGGTGATCGTATCAAGCCCAATTTACTATCAGTCGCTCCAAAATTGTCTTAAGCAAAGTTACAACTTCAAAGTTCGGTAAAGAGTTCGATCCCGCATCGCGTTCTGCCGAGATGATAGTGACTTGATGGTGCCAATAGGACGAGGAGGAGGATAGGGGTGGGAATTAGGGTTAAGAAAAGTTAATGTAACTTTCGCTTCGACCGTCAGGTCAAATTGAAAGCGTTGTCGTTGCTTAATCGGTTAAGAAAAGAAACAAGAGTTCCCATCGATAGAATTTCGATTCGATTCCTATCGGTTTTCGTCGCGAAAAATCATCCCTGCGTTTGTTCTAACAATGTTCTCGCTCGTCCTCTGAAAGACACGAGAAACTCCTCGCGAAAAAGCGACTTCAAAGTAAACGAGCTAAAAAGAAGAGGATCCGAGGGACGCGTTGTCCACGTCCCGGTAATTTGCTAAAAGATAGAGGAGAGCGAAAGCGACTCGGGGAATCGTTCGAGCCTTGACTTGTCCCGCTGCGGCATCCCGATCACGTTCGAGGGTCGCGCGAGTCCTCACGGGATATCCTTTCCCTCGAAGGAACGCCAGACGAGAGACGATGGACAGGGCCGAAGGGAAAAATCCATCGACGCATCGACGCTCGCGTGATTCTCGAAGGGCGACGAATCACGGAGAATTCAATGAAAAAGGGAACACCTACAGCCCGACATTCGATGCGTCGATGAACGATTCGGAAAACAGAGATACAAAGAAAACGCACGACGAACCTCGCGTGTCAAAAATGTTACGTGACTCGTTCACAGATCAAAGTGACTAACTCCACTTCTGAAATGTTGCCGAATTTCAACGCTAACGCTAGAACTATCGGTTTGGTCCAAGTGATTCCTGAGTTTTTCTATTACGATTATTGAAAAGATCATAGAAGATGTCTCTCTGAGAAATCACAAAAATCGAGAATAATCAAACGGAATTCAAGTAGACTCTAAGAGTTTCTAAAGAAAAACGTGAAAGAGTTAGCTCTCACTGCTCGGTAGTTCTAGCGTTAACGCTCGATTGATTCTTTGTGTCTATTGTTCTATCAAATTTGATTTATTCTCATTCCGTGGAATTGCTCACTTTGGCGGATGAATGATTCGTACATCCTCTTCTATCCCCTCCTCCGACTAGAGGGATCGGAAAAGGGAAAGATCGTTGCTCACTCACTCACCTCGAAATCGTCTCTCCGTCTGTCCTTAGGGGGACAACGCGCGCGACGACGAGCTGCTGCGAGGTCCTCGAATTCTCGGTGAAATGGGGCCCGACGCATTCCAGCGGGGAGGCGGTGGGTGCATTGTCACCGATCTCGCGGAACGGTTGGCTCAGAGTCGCACGAAACGCGGTGATCGGCCGGCGCTGCGGCAGCTGTCGACGTTCACGGTGTCGATCGCGGGGAAACGATCGAGCGTCGAAAGTGAGCAGGACGGCGACGCGAAGAACACGGAGAAAATCTCGTCGGTGACGAAACACAGATGCGTCGCTGAGAAACAAGATAAGAAGAGGAAGAAGGCATCTAAGAAGACGAATGCACCTGTGGAAGAGTGTTTAATCAAGGAAACTGACCGACCGACGATCGAGAAGAGAAAGACTCACGCGAGAAAGTCGAAGGAACCGAGGGAATATGGGAGAACGTTGTCGAGAATGGATAAGCACGCTGGCAACGCGGGGAAACCGAGAAATTGGACGATACCGGCAGCTCTCTCGGACAAAAAGCCGAAATTGCTGTACGGCCTGGTGCAGCAGAGACGCACGCCGCTCACCTGCTTCTTCGCTAATCTTTTGGAAGCTCAAAAGAAAGACGTGCACAGTTCGAATGTTAAATACGCGGGTTCTAAAGGTAAAAAACTGGATGCAATTAGGGATGAGAGAACGTCCCAAGAGTCGAGTGGCGAGCGATCGTGCAGGGAGATTGGCGAAGGAGACAGGCAGATTTCAGCTTCTAAGAGCGATTTAGCGCGCGAATCTGTCCAGAAGTCGGAGGTTCCGGAAGTAAATATTACTTCGGAGCTAGCCGAAGGGAAAGACAGCTCGGCTGATGGACTGGGTCGACAGGATTTCGATCACATGGAGCGAAAGGCGATAGCGTGCTCTAGCAACGAGACGATCAGCGAGACGGACGAGTCACCGAGGATCGTTAAAAACATATCATCCAAGCTCGCGGAGTACCTGGAGAACCTGAACGCCAGCAGACGGAAGTCCGCTTCTCTCGACAGTTTAATTTCCTACAATTTAGACACCTTATTCGCTCCGGAAGAATCAACGGCAGCGTGCAATTACATCAACGCGGCTCGCTACTCCTCCAAGAGCGGCGATTCCAACTTGAGTTTCAAAGATAAACTGGCGAAGAAACTGGGGATAAAGAAGAACTCGCCCGACAAGAAACTGAATAAGACAACGGGGAAGAGTGGTGGTAGCAAGGACGAACCTTGCAAGATGCCGGAGAGCGTGTACGGGTCCCTCTGCAAGGAAGGAGCAGGGAAAGATTGTAAGCAGGAGGAGGACGCGTGTAGGAAATACAGGAAGGAGGCAATATATGGAAGCAGTTGCAAAGGCGGTGGTCAAGATCCCTGTAAAAAGGGGAGGAAGGAGAAAATCTACGGGAAAGTTTGCAAGGAATACGTGGATCAATTCGGCAGCGACGACCCTATGGATAAATTCTGGAAGGAGAAGGTTCACGGGAAAAGGTGCAAACAGAAGAAGAAGAGCAACGTTTGCGGAGACCCGAAGTGCGACTCGGAGACGCCGAAGTGCGAGAAACGGAAGGAGAGTCCTTGCGGAGGTGGCAAGAAACCTGATCCTTGCGGCAAATCCAAGAAGCAGGATCCTTGCGGCAAATCCAAAAAGCCGGAGCCTTGCGGAAAACCTAAGCAGCCGGACTCCTGTGGAAAGAAGAAACCTGAACCTTGCGGGAAACCTAAACAACCGGACTCCTGTGGGAAGATGAAGCCGGATCCTTGTGCTAAGAAGAAGCCGGATCCTTGTGCGAAGAGGAAGCCAACCAGTTGCGGCAAGAAGAAGCCTGCTGCCAAGAAGAAGGATTGTCCACCTGTGTTCCGAGCACCGGGATGTCCAAAGGACGAGGACGGAGGAGGAAAGTGCAACGACCCTTGCAAAAAATATTCGACCGATTCGAGGATCTATTCGCTGAATGGCTTGTCCCACGAGAATTTTGCAAATATGAATATTTCAAAGAGTCTTACGAGGATTATAGACAAATCCTCTTTGCCTCGGCTGGCGTGTAGTGTACTGCCTCTAAAAATCGATTCGATCGATTCGCGTGACGTTGATAATTAGGCGTCTATTCTCCCATACGTTCCACGCCTGTCCAATTAATAAAACTCATAGAATAAGTCGTGTCTGTGATCCCGTTGCGTCAATAAATGTCGAGTTTCTTGCAATCTTGTCTACGTTTAGCGTAAAACGAAGTAGTTTAGAATATTTTTGATAGTGTTAATTCTCGTACCATCGAGAGAAAGTAATACTCGATACATCATCGATCAAACGAAGCACCGTGTATGTTTCTGTACAAACTATAACGCGTAAATGTCCGGCAATCTGAATTTTCCGATCTAAATTCCAGCTGCAGGCTCCAAATCCGTCGAGCAACTCCGGGCAACCAGCGATCGAAGTAAGTTTGAAAATCCCTGTTCAGTATGTTTACGGATTGTAATTTCGAGACTCGTCGCTATGGCTCCACCTCCCTTCTGCCTCTTCCTCATCACCAAAATTTCACCGCGAATCTAAGATTCACCGGGAATAAATAATAACGCATGCCACATCAAACAGAACCGATCGAAAATGTTGGATATCATCCTCTCTCCCCGCAGAGGGCCGATACCGAGATCGATGGATCGGTGTTGCGCGCTAGAGACCAAAGGAGTAGGGGCCCTTTGTCGATGACTGGGGTCTCGGATGAATTGACGACCGATCGTCGAACATCTTCGATCCCCAGCGACCACGAGCCCATGACGTTGCACGACAGATTCCGCAACGACGACTATTTCCCACAAGGCGAGGAGTTCGAGGACGAGATCGGCTTCGACGTTGGTCAGCTGCACAGAGATTCTTCCGGAGCTTTTCGGGATCAAGACTCTGACAACATCGCCCCACTTCCTTTTACATCCCGTTCCGGAGACGTACAGCCGGATTCGTCGAACTGACGGAGCGCGTTGTCATCGAGAAACAAGAAAGATCATTCGAAGTTACTCTCTATACGCAAGAATAACATCTTTGAATTACTCTTAACTTGCCAATTACTATGGAACAGCAGAGGAATGTACTATATCGTCATAAGTAATTGAACATCGAGTCACTTGTCCATCGGCTGTTCTAGTTTCCCTTAGTCACGAAGATAAGATTTCGTTTCGTCGCGAATTTCGCCTTGCGATCGTTTCCCCGTATTTCATCACGAGCGAATGATCCGAGAACCAACGATCCATTTCCATCGTCGCATCTTGGCGTAGGAAAGGGAGGTGGGCCAGAGGTGAGGCGCGAAACGCGACCATATTAGAACTGACTTGCTGGACCTGATGATCCAGGGTATCAGGAACGGTGAGTTCCGATTGGGCGAACCAAACTGCGGCGAGGATCCACCAGGCTGGCCAGACAAGAGCCCTTGTCACCCGCCAAAGGGCCCCTGCAAGCCACTCGGTCCGCCGGGCTATCCTCCGAAAAAGAAACCAACGAAAAAACCGTTCTGCGTCAAGTGTCCAGCCAAGAAACCGTGCAAAACGAGGAAATGTTGTTAGGCTGAGAGGTGCAGAGGGTACGTGGAGATAGCGGCGGAGAACCAACGGTTTACCACTCTCGAAATCCCTTCTCTCTACCTCGCAGGCCGGACACAATGGAATTGGTCCTTTAGACCGTCTACTTACGCTCTCTTCAGCAGCGATCAGAAACATGCGCAGAGCAAGGAGCCACTTCAATCTAGAATCCTCTTTCAAGGACCTTCCAATAGGCTCTTGGAGAGAGACATGTCTGAAGCCGCTTAAACTAGGACTCATATGCTCCAGAAACTTCAGTACGAGATGTCACCGAATATCACCGAAAGAATTACAGAGCTACATGTGTCAACGTCAGAAAAGATTCTTCAGGGCCAACTTCATTACGTTCGATATGAGAAGTGGAAAGAAACCAGAGAAACGTAGTTCCAAATTCGCCCCAGATTCTGGAGATAAAGGACAGTCCAGAGGTCCTACCAACAAGTGCACCCCGCGTCCTTCATCCAACTGTCGCAAGCGACCCAAGAACCCGAGTTGTCCGAAACAAGCGCCACCCTGTCCTCCACCATGTCCCTGTCCCCGTCCCGAGCCACCAGCGAAGCCTCCGCCCCCTAAGATCTGCTACCGGAAGTGTCCTCCGCCTCCGAAGCTACCTAGGCTGCCGAAGTGTCCCAAGATCCCAGCTCCACCGCCGCCTCCGCCTCTTCCAAGGATGCCCAGGTTGCCGAAGTGCCCTAAACCCTGTCCACCACCTCCGCCGCCTCCTCCGCCTAAGTGTCCGGCTGTGCCGAAGTGTCCCGAGTGTCCTCCGCAGA